GGCCAGCCTCAGCGGCAAGGTTCTCCTATAGAAGCACCGTGCACATCACGCTCAGCCTTTCAGGATTCCAGTTACGTATTTACTTTTAGCAGCTGCCTCAAACCTTTGCTTGTAAACGTGGACCTGTCACTCCAGCAGCCAGGACAGAAGGCAGTGCCTGGCGTGGCTGTGCCTGGGACACGGCAGGGCAGGAAGCACACCCTAGGAACGGGTGGTCGCGAGATGGGGTGCCACTGCTGGTTTCGTCCCTGGGATCTGTGGTGACCCCTAGGCAGAGAGCAGGGGCTGGCGCGAGAGGACAGGTACCAGAGGGCAGCAGAGCGTCCTGGTTAGAACAGGAGCCCGCCAGGCAGTCAGCTTGCCCGGCTCTGCCACCCACTAGGTAGGAGGCTGCGGAGGTTCAAAGCCTCTGTTTCCTCGTCTGCAAGGTGAGAATGCCCAGAGTCCCCATACCACAGGGCTGTTGTGGGGATCCAGGGCACCAGCCCAGAAAGCTGTTACAGCAGTGCCTGATACACACTAACAGCAACACTCCCAGGTGCGAGGGACCACCTTTGGCATCTTTCAGCCGTGGCTTCTCATACCAGCATCAGCCACATCCTGCCACGCACCTTGAACTTGAGGAGGCCACTGCTCTTAGGTGTTGGTAGAAGCTATTTTGGCCACGATCTCAATGATGAAAAGTCAAAGGTGGAGCACTGTGAAAACTGCAGCAATGGCAGTGCCCATAGCTCAGTGGGTAGGGCGCTGGCCACATGTACCTGATGGGCTGGTGGGTTCAAACCCAGCCTGGGTCTGCTACAACAAACAAAAAAATAGCCGGACATGGTGGTGGGCGCCTATAGTCCCAGCTACTTGGGAAGCTGAGGCAAGAGAATCACTTGAGCCCAAAGATTTTGAGGTTGCTGTGAGCTATGACTCCACAGCACTCTGCCCAGGGCGACATAGTGAAACTCTGTCTCAATTTTAAAAAAAGAACTGCAGCAGAAACAAACCATTTCTTACCTTCCTGGCCATAGAAATGCTCTTGGCTGATAGGGGTGCCTTTAGTGGCGTTTCCAAAGCCTCAAGGAGATTACCGCTCCTTGGCAGAACCGG